GAACAAATCAAGATAAATTAAAGATACATTTTCCTTTCACCCACAGAAATAATGTACAGTAGGCCCAGTATTAGCTGTCCAAAGAAGAATWAAAGGCAAGAATGGCACCGCTCCGTGCCTTCTTCTTGGGTGCTTTTGCTTTCGCTTGCAGGGAGTCGCTTTCCCCCCAGTTTAGCAATTATCAGCGGCACCCAGGCTGCTGTTGATAATAATACCGTACAACACGAGAATGATAGAGACGATGATGAAAGAGGTGTAAAAGAAAATAGAACTTCGCGGCCGCAAATCGATTCTGCAGTTTTCCAATTTCCCTTCCAGAGCTGGCCTGGCTTCTGAAATTGACCCTCGGAATATAAAGCAAAGGGAAGGAACAGTCCAACCACTCCGGCCTTTTAGCAAATGACATTGCCTGATACAATCCATTTCCTTTGGTGCGGACGCTTAGGTTGGGCCGGATTAGCAGGCGAAATATAGGGGCGAGATGGGGAATATTTTTTTAATATAGATGCGTCGGCAAGCTGTACGTTAGAGTGAAAAGCATTTCTTGAGATAGCCTTTGTGAGGCTTTGGTGAAGCAATAAATGGCCCTACAGGCTCAAATATTCTTTAAGAGGTATTGATAGCGGCTCTTTTTCTTCATTAGAAGTCTTTCTCAACTGTCTAATACCTCGTCGCTCAGTGCCCTTTCTGGAGGCCCTCGTTAGTGCCCCTTAGCACTGATATGGTACAGCACCAGGTATCGCTGCCAGGGAAACCCAGGCAACAGGGCTCTTCACCCAGGGCTGCTTAGGGTTTGCTGGGTCTCCCAGCTGTAAAACGGGCTTCCCAGACAATGAGGAGCTGTAAAATCCTTTAAGATAAATTAGCAGAAATTCCCTTATCAATATTATAATTTCATGTAGGCCTGGGGGGTGTTTTGTTTTGGTATTTTTATCTTCTGGCCAGCAATCCATTGTAACTGATGATTTTGCAGGAATCCAATACCCAGGACATTTCTTGGGTATTGTGAGCCTGAGATGCTCTAATTAAGGCTTTAATTTCACACTTAATTTTTCGTTCTTGCAGATACGGCTTGTAAACATTAGCTGAAAGCACTTGGTGAAAAAAAGTTTTGTTTCCCATTTGATATTCAGAAATAAAGATGAAATAGTTCTGCCTGAAAAGGAGCTCAGAGACTTATGAGTGATTAAAACTTTGCCCTCGTGATGAACTCAGAACTGGCACTGTTTTACTGGGATCCAGTGGCCTCCAGAATAAAGAAGGCCTTTGTCCAAAAAACAAGCAAGGGGAGAGGGCACAGAAAAAGTTTTAGGAGAAAACGAACAAAATATATGCAAAGAAATACAGATGTTTTTTCAAATATCTGAGAACTTGGAAGACACCATCAAAATTTTATTTGCAGATACAGTTCAGTTATTGAAAATGTTCCCATTCTTTGTTGCACGTATAGAACACATTAAATACCACTGAACCAAATTTTAAAGAAAAGTATCAATAGAGTTTGGGGTCAAGCAAATTGCAAATGGAACAATTTTTAATCCAAATGAATATTTCCACCTTTATTTTCTACAAAATGCTTAATTCAAAATTGCAGGTAGAGGTCATTTTCTCTTTTTTTCTTGTTCTTCCCCATAAGATTTTTTTTAAATGGTGAGCAAGTATTAAATACAATACTTATAAAAATGAATAATATTTACTATCTCTAAAGATGTGTCAATTAGTAATACTGACAGTTGTTCAGTTATTTCTATGTGTTAAACCAAGACACGCAGTGAATCTGTAAGAAGTAATACAGTTGGTACTACAGCACTCTGGAAAACCCTCATCTTCTAATTGGAAAAAAAAAATCTTCATATTCACCGTGGTGCAATATAACCTTGGAAAACAATCTTTTACCGGTTTGTCTTTAATGCATAAAACACTGCTCATTTTCTGCAATTCTGTCACAAGGGGCACATTAATTTACTTGCACAATAATTGAATACATCGATACATTGATTGAAGTAGAGAGGGTGTTTTTTTTATTCAGTGGCTCCAAGAAACAACACGTTTCTTGCAGAATCTTTATTAAAAGAGACTTCTTGCAGCGGCTGAAGCAGGGGGAAGAGCCAATGCCCGGGGAAGAGCCAGTTGATCTGCACACGCTGAGCGCCACATCAGCAGAGAGCAGGGGGGCAATTAATGGGGCAGATCTTGGCGCCCCTTCCTAATTACCCTGCACTGCCTAGGGGATTTGWCCGTGCTGAGACAGGTCGATAGAAAGAACCACCCCAATGCGATGGGGCTCTGCTCCTGCGGAGCAGCAGTGCTTCCCAGCAGCGGGAGCGACTTTATTGGAGCCGCCTGTTGTTTGGGAGCGCGCAGGCTCGCGCGCTTCYTCCTCCCGCAGCATTTAGCCTTCCGTTTGGGGCTGGCTGCAATCACACAGCTAATCCCCGCCTAATCTCCAAATGACAGGCCCGACTGTTTCCAGCAAGTCCCGGCAGCTACCGAAAATCAGAGTGACTAGAGGTGTTTAGGTGATGTGACAGTGATGTATTCTGGAGCAGTCGCTTTGGAACAAAATACCCATTCATCCACTGTCATCACTCAGTTTTGCAAGATCCGTCTGCAATTTCTAGCAGCCTAGCGGAGCTGCTAGAAGTCCACACATGGAGCTGTTCTGTGCCGGGACCAGGAATAAGGAGATTCAGCAAGTCTGAACCATCAGTGAAAGGTCATTTTTTGGACTCAGGATCTCAGTCCTGTTCCAGCTGATGAAGCTTTTAATTGCATTTTTATACCCCTCTCCCTGTAACATGCTCTCAAGCTTCTCATGTGTTACATAGAGACTGGCCCAGAGGCCCAGCTGCCCATAACATGTGGCGGTACCAGAGCATGCACTGAGACTGAATTAACTGTAGCCTTTGTCTTTGCAGATAACGTATTTCTGTCAGGACAAACAGAAAAGCACGTCTGTGCATGCTCAATTTTTTATTCCTAAAGGATGTGATGAAAAGCATCAATTAGAAAGCACCAGCTATTGGCAACAAACACTGCACATCAAACCTGGGCACTCAAAATCCCCCTTGCCAGTGGACACAACCCATCGCTCTCAGGCTTCTCAGCCACTTTTATAACGAGCCAAGCATTCTACAGCAAAAAGAAAATAATAATAATAAAAAAGAGGAAGAAGGAACAACGTTGTTGCCTAGGCATTAACAGAACCAAGCTCCAGTCAGTAACTCTGTCTCACCTCTAGTCCTTTCTGGCCATCCCTTCTCTGCCTGTACAAGACCCAGGTGCAGGAGGCCATTGGAATGGTGGCAGAGGTGACAGCAGGGATACTTCTTGCTCCACCTTTCCTCCTCCATTCATTTTTTCCCTGCTTTTSTTAAAGTCCTCCAGCCTGCACTGGAAGAACCACATGGACCTTCAGGGAAATAAGTCACTGGTGGCCAGGCTAGTTCCAATGGCAATCAAGAGCTGGATCCTTAATGCATCATATTCATAGGAATATAAACCGATCTGACCACTAATCAGAATGTGATTTAGCTGCAGGAAAGGTGCAGATGCTCTCCAGAGAGCAGAAATGATCAGAAAGAGGAGAAAGCAAAAATGAAGCTGCCCCTTCTGTGTGGAGCGAGCAGAGAGGGTTAAGAGCCGATTTGCTTTCCCCCTGCTTGGGGGAACTGGCCTAGCTGCAACCACATTTGTTTGCTTTGAGAGAGGGGCACAGCTAACTTGAATCAGTCAGAGCCACCCTGTATCCCGGGGCCATTCTGAACTCATCACTCAAAGCTGCTCTGTTTTCTAGCTCTCTTTCCTTYTCTTCCCTTCAGTAAATTTTGCTTTTAAAAGAACTTAAATATGGAAAGGATAGTCCCCGAGTCAC